ATTCAAGTACTAATATTAACTACATGCGTACTACTGTATTTTTTTTATTTTTAACTGCCTCCACTCCATTGATGTTATAAAGTCAACAAATAAGAAGAAAGGTACGTTACTAATTATGTTCATTGCGTTTACGCAAATTATATAGCTCAACAGTCAACTATACATCACATATTTTACACGCTAAAATGATTTGCAGTATATGGGTGAATTTAAACCACGAGTTAGAGGATTGACGTTGGATAGATTTCAGTAATTTTAGTTCAAAAATATAATCCACTAAATATGTATAAGTAATCTATCTTGAACCCAATCGTAATCCTATCCTAAATTTTGGAACACATAACTTGTTGGGTATCTACCTTGAGTTTCTAATCATATTTGGGTTTTCTTTTTAGGAAAAGAAAAACATGTAAACTCCATATTTGGCTAGTTCTTTTCTCGAAGAAAAAAAAGTTTATGATAATCTATAAATAGAGGTACATTCCTTTAAAACATATTAGCATTCAAATGTAGTCCTAGGGGTTTTGAGTGTTTTATGTAGGGAGGAAACAGTGAGACACAAGTGATACGTTATCACTTGTGTGAACCTCTTTTTATTCCGAGTGAATTGTGTGTGGTTACTTCTCTCGATATTTTGTACTCTCATATTTATATAATAAATTGTTCATCTCCTTCTATGGATGTAGGTCGATGGATCGAACCACGTTAAATAATGTTTGTACATATCTTTTGGTATATTTCTCATTTGTCTTCTTACTCATGATCATTCGAAGTTTACTTTATTAGCTTTTACATGACACCTAATTATTTCAATCCTAACATAACTTAGAATCGCATCGGATAGTATCAAATATGAATTAATTTGTCCGAATATTATATAGAATAGAAGAGAACTAGAGATGGTACATAAAGTTAGGGTTTGTGAAGGATGTCGTTACCTAGGAAAGTGAGAGGTATCTTCCTAATGAAAATAATCTTGAAAAAATCGTTGGTCTTCTGGAGCCTACGTTACGTATTGTCTTCATTGTGCATGTGCTAAGAGGTCCCATACTTGCATAATTCATGCTGGTATACATCTCATTAATAGGTGAATTCAGGATTTCAAGATGACAGACGTATATATTATTGCTTTTAAAGAAAAAATATAAAATTTTGTAGTGATAATTAAAAGATAACTAATTATATTATCACAATAAATATCATAAGTTTACATGTTTTGACTACTATTCTGCTTAACCAACTTTCAATCAGTGCACCACTCAATTTCTTTTAATCATGAATATCTTTAGATAATACTGAATATATTTTAAGAACTATACAAATAACATATCGAATTTAGTCGGATGATATATCACAGATCGACAATATAATATGCATGGCTTTTGAAAGAGGCCTCTCAGAGAGATAGCTAAGTACTGTGAGTCTGTGACACTAAATATAAAGGAGTGTCTATCTTTGCATGTGCATGGGCAGAATATTGTTTGGAACATGTTCATTGGCTTCTACTTATCTCTCAATTTTCATATCAAATTAATTATCTGATCCCATATCCTAAAAGAATGTTTCAGCACTTCCAATAATTAACTACTAAACAAAATATTATACCTGAATCTGAATAAATGAGTAATTAATTAAGAAATTATTACATTGTATTCTGTGTCTAAATAATTCTCCCTATCTTTCTAAAAATATCCTGTACTTATATTCTTTATGTCTCATTTTAAATATTAGTAATATATATTTCCCTCAAATAATTTCATGTAATCGTCTGAGTATTAATCCCCATGCATATATTAACTTGAGGAAAAAAAACATTAATTTTGCATAACAAAGAAAATATTCAGCTAGTTATTAACAAGAAACATTATTATTTTTATTTTATTCAATCAACATTATTAGTAGTCTTAATTATCCATCTCGATTTGTCCATATATTGGTCTTTGATGGAGCAAAGAAAGTGACCACACATGATCAACTCTCAACTATTTATTTTAACAATGTATTTTTATTTTTTCAGGCCAATTAAAAAAGCATGGCTATAGAACTTCATTATTTTAGCCCAATAAAATTAGTTTTGTTAAAAATAATGAAGTACCAACTATGAATTCTATTCAGGTGCAATGACTTTATTTAATTATGTATTCTCATTTCCGGCCAAAATCAATTTTAAAAAGTTGAATTTTATTATCTTTAGTCTCATAAAGAAAGATGAAACCTAAATAATGAAATTGCAATTGTGTACTTTTTTAGTTCTTGGTTAGATTCAAATATTCAATTACTATTCGTTTAACTGTTATTATTTTCTAAGGCCTAACTATAAATATAAAGAAAATGATTAGAGCTCATTTATATTTAGTAAAATAAAAAGTTTTAGCAAAATAACAAATTTGTTTCAACAGTATAATTCTTAATTATATTTTTTAATTAGGTGTAATGACTATCAATTTCAACGATATATCTTTTTCTTTTTCAAGTAAATTCTTTTTAAATAATGGTGACAATTTTATTATTTTTACCATAATAATTTTTATTGCTTAAAAAGTTTTGTTCTAACAAAGTTTTTTTTACTGATTTGTCCCGAAATCAAAATATAAAATTAATTCTAAAAGTAGAATAAATTATTTTTATTTTATAAAATGCCCTGTGGACAAAAAAATATGTGGCAGGATACTATCTTAGGGTGAGATGGTGAGGGGAGATAAGGACCATCAAATAGCCAAGTTTGGGGATGTGGTAATTAAGACTACTAATAGTGTTTTTTTTTTAGGTATCATTTCGCTCTTATGTAAAATTAGATATTTCTTAATATTGATCTAATATGACATGTTGACACTCATTTTTTTTCTATAAAAAGATTGAATGTTGAATTATTTACTCAAAGAAATAGTCAAATAGAGGTTGATTACGTAGTACTTTCCCCCCCTCTTTTCTTTAGTAATGAACTCATGCGTGTTTTAGAAATTTTAGATACGCTACTATGGAAGACGAATTTCTTGCATATAGATGATGCATATGCTTATGCGATTGGCAAAATATATGTCAACTTAGATGATGTGTGATGTTAAATATATCAATTTAGAAAGATACATGTAGTGTGTGACATGGTTCATGAAGGAGGCTAGAGCCATGATTCATGAGCTACCTAATACTGACAAGTATAAAATAGAGAACAAAACAATATGCTCAACTACTTCTATAGCGTTACGTATCTCAAAAAAAAAAAAACAGAAAACGTCATGATTCTTGACATACTGCTTACTTTTTCTTGCATAATCCTCACATATGTGTGTCTGTAGGCGTGGCTGGAAATAGGCACCGCATGCAATAATAGCAAATATAGCACAGGGAACATACTAATGTGAGGTTCAACCGAACTTATTTATCAATATGATTGAAATGTACAAACTATATACACTAATTATGTATATTAAATGTATAGTATATGTATACATATTTTAAATATACATAAACTTTATATTTGTTGCCTATTTTGTAAACTATACCACCAAAAGTCATTGGACTGTAATTATTCATGATTTATTAATGTTCAGAACGAACAACGATTTATTTACTCTACTAAAAAAATGTAGATGTAATTTAGAAATAAAATATTAATTGCCAATCATCAGAGTTAATTGTTTAACTGAGAAATGGTGTGGTATAAGTTAATTTTGATGTTTTTATTTAACAAATAATGTTGTTGACATTTTTGGAATTTGATGCATTCCATCAAAAGGTTGGATTTGGAAATTTAGAACGGCTTCTTGTGTGAATGGTACTTTTGGCCCAATATACTAATAGGAGGAATTTTTGCAAATAGTCACTGAAATAAACTTAATTATGCTTTATAACTATAGTTTGTATATTTTCAGGCTGTAGCTACAGTTTAAGCTGTCTCGTTTGTGTAATTCACGGGTTTGTATAATTCAATGGTACATTTGTATATTGAGCTATTTTTGTATAAACTCAAAATAACGAATAAATACAAACACAAACATATAAACTTTAAACAATTATACAAATTATATTATATAAAATTACATTATACAAAAGTTATACGAATTATATTATACAAATTCCAAATTATACAAACTCGAAACCCCAGCCCACGTAATTATCACTAATATTGGTTGTGAGTGGAAATTAACTAAAACAATAGCTATGATGACTAATTAACTAGTATATGTTTGTTTAACCGTGTAATTTCCCCTAATAAACAAAGGGAACAAACATTCAGCCCACAAACAAAAACTTGGGCCAGTGAACCATTAGGGCCGAAGAAGTCTAGTCCAGCACAGGCCCGAAGCAAAGGGAAAAAATAACAGGAATTGCATCCCCTAGCCAATTTTAATTTATATGTATTATTTAAGTTGTATTCATTTTGGAAGAAATTTAACTTGTAGTCAATATTGACGAACATTAAAGGATGTTGAGACAAGACTATAATTGTTTTCTACCAAGCGATTGAAAATTGTTGAGACTAATATTAAAAAACTGAATAAAAATTGTTTTAATCAATTCCAATATTTAAATGATAGCACCGAAAAATCTTTCTTCTTGTTTCTCTAGAAATCATCATGTGATTAAACTAACATGCCCATAGATTCCCAATCCAATATGTTGGGAAAGTCATGACTTGAGGAAGTAATTGCTATCCTGAAAGCTTTTGAATGTGCTATCAATAAAGGATAAAAGAGAGTACAAATTTTATCTATTGCTATAAATGTTGATGATGATTCAGAAACAAGTGAAAACTTCATGAGAGATGATAAATTAGCAACGGGTGAAAAATATTTGGAACCTCTTTCAAATTTATGTATATATTCCTCTATGTTTGAACACAGTATTGGATAATTAGTTAGATTTTCTCTCTATTTGTTGCAGGAAAATTCTTGATAGAAGGTGTTATCACAAATTGGATCATACAAAAAAATACGTTGATACAATAATACAAGGTGTTAGGTTTCGGAGAGGAAAAAAAGCACAGGACAAATGTCAACTAGGTGATAACATAAAGACAAAAATATTTTAACTTGAAGCCGGGTAAAACATAATACATATAACATCATAAAATACTTTTCAAACAACAGCAACTTGCACATGGCTTAGGCCTTAGCAGCAAGATACTGCAATGTAGCCAGACATGATTTGCTAGTACTATCTCATAAGATATGATGATGAAATTAAATAAAGCTAAGGTCCACACACTACACTTGTAAAATATCATAAAAAATACTGACTAGTAGTAATAATCAAGGGCACTTGGTCTTGTTGCCATGGGTAGTCATTTCAGTGTAACATTTGCCACACATCTCTCTGTTCCCAAAGGTCCCTGGTGGCACACATTTGCATCTAACACAACATGTTCCACATGCCCTAAAACACAACTTGGGCCTTGAGTGTAAACTGCATCTGTATTTGCACAAACCTCCACAGTCCAATGGACTTGGAGGTGGAGCTGGTGCAGGAGCTAGAGCAATATCCCCATTGTTCAAGTATTTTGCAACCTTTAAAACTGCAACAACAATAATAAATATGAATATTTATGGGTTACGCTAAATGATCAGAAAATTTAACCAAATAACTAAAAAGTTTATAATATCCTTTTTATTTTAAAATAAAAAGAGTACTTTTTTACATGATGTTATAATTAAAATCTATTGAAATTAAAAAAGTAACAATGTTTAAAAAGGTAAAATAAAATAGTGTGAAATATGTTATTTTATTATTCTGACCAAATTTTCTAGGCAAAAGAATTTTTTCAATATTTATAACCAACTGTCTAATTAAGGTAGTCAACGAAAAACTACATGTGCAAGATATAAACCTTATGTCATCATCATATTGTACCACAAGCTAAAAAAAATAATTGAGAACTTCAAGTAAATATAAAATCAAGGTGTGTATCTAACAAGACATGATCACTAATGACTTGACTAGTCACTCTCATAGCTGTTCTTTTTCAGCGACTGATATATTTATCGGATAGTATCAAGCTTAGGTGTACACTTGTTAATATAGCACACATCCTAAAAGAAAAAAAATATTTGGAGTTTAGTTTATTGAATTAATCTTTTAATTATATTTAAAAAATTTAATTTGAATACAATTAGATGTGAACACTCTTTTGAAGTAATTTAATGATAAAAGATAAAACTGAATAAAATTAATAGTTTATTTATTAATTTATATAACTCACTTTTTTTTTTATAAATAGTCTTAAAATGAATGTCAACTTTGTATATATAAAAACAATTTAACTTTAAAATTACTAATTTAACCTTGATAAAATGAATTATAACATCACAAATAGTTAAAGGGTGCTTTAGAGCACTTTTTTTCTTTTAACATTTTGCTGAATCACATAAAGTAAAATAAACTAAACATTTCTTTATGTGCTAAATGGTCTTCTAGAAAAATCAGCTATTTGTAGTAGAGGAACCCAGTAAATAAAACAGAGGAACAAACCGTGGCGGAGCTAGAATTTTTAATAAGGGGTTTCAAAATCAGAAGAAGTAAACCACGAACTAATTGAAGGAGGTTTGACACCTACTATTTATGCATAAAAAATAATGTTAACTATGTATGAATAGTAACATTTTCCGCCGAATGGGGTTCGGATAAACCCCCAACTCTATGCTAGCTCCGCCCTGGAAACAGAACAATCTCTTTGTCTACATTTCTTCACTTCAATATCAAATTTAATATATATACTCCCTCCCTCCATCCCATGGTACTTGAAAAAAAATTATGTTTAAAAATACTTGTCACAAAAAAGGGGTAGTAATAAGAAACGGAGAGTATCTATAATCTAAATTACACTTGGAACTTATAACTCACCCTCATCAGTCATCACTGCTTTACTTTGGAAGTCATAAAGTGGTAAATTGAATTTCTGTGTTGCAGATTCAATTAATGTGACGGTCAACCAAAGCACCAGTGGTGCATTTATTCAATTAATTAATAATAATTACTGCTTAAGCACGGCCACTGACTTGAAAAATGTAGCACTAGTAACAACACTGCCATGCAGTTGTTGTCATTCAATGGATAGTGTTTATAGCTCTTAATTAGTTGAAAAATAAAATTAGAATCCAGTGATAAACACATAAACAAAAGTAAAATAACATCAAAACAAAAACTAAGCATTTTATAACTCACCTATGTCTTGAACTAGCCTCCTATTGGCTCCTCTGGTGAAAAGCTGAAAAGGTCAAAAAAAAAAAGAACAAATACTCAGGTAACGAGTAAACAGTTCTCCTAAATACCATACTGAAATCATCAAAACAACAAAGTCTAATAGATTCGACCAAATATATCTTTATCGGTCCATTCCAAAAGAGTAAATCGCACAAATGTTATGACATACTTAAAGTCTAAAAGCAACAGAAATAGTATGTCAACTCAATACTTAAATTGAAATATAGTGAGTACTAAATGAAAAGGAGAATAGAGACGAACACGAAGTGCCTGGCTGAGACCAACATGTTGTTTATCTTCTTCAACCTCCTTGAGATCAATAATAGAACCCTGCGTGCATACATTTTATTAATAAATCACTTGTGCAGCCAGTCATACAAATTTTTCATTAACAAACTCAGAATAAAAAAAATAAAAAAAGTAACCGCATAAAGAAGCCAAATGAGTTCAACATTACTATATACTCCATAAAAAAATTAAACCTGACTTTCTATGAAAAAAGCTACGCATTAGTTGAGTAACCATCTGATCAATAATTAGGCTAAGTTGTGTTGAGATCGACGATGAATGAATTTTTTACCTGTGCCTTAACAGTAGCGAAAAACAAAACCAAAAGAAGCAATACACGAAGCGCCATCGCCATGAATATTATAACCGCAGCTCCTCTTTAACACTTAGCTTAACTCTAGTTAATGAAATTGAGCTCCATGTTTTTTTATTTTTATAGTAGAAAAATGTGATGATTCATGTATCGGCGGGGACCCTGGCTAATAGTAGTATCTAGCTGTGTGCATTACTAATACACAGCTGTTTCCTCCTCTGTACCTCTTTTCGAATTTCGAGCTACTTATAATTCCAGACCTCCTAAACTTGAAGGAAAACTAAGTATAATTTAGGCCCATAGCTACTCTAAATTGATTAATGAGGATTTTGTTAGAATATTTTTAAGATAGATATCTTTTTATAGGAAAAATCCTTTTGGCCAGAATAATATTTTACCCTGGTTATTTTATCTTTTTGAACATTTTTATCCTTTTAACTTTAATACCTTCTAAATAAAAAATAGAAAAAAAATTAATTTATTTTAAAATAGAAAAGATATTATAGACTTTTTAAATTTTCTGGCCAAATTTTGGCTAAATTTTCTAGTCATTTAGCATTACCCCTTTTTATATTGATATGTTAATTGTTATAGGTACACATAATAATGAAAAGTAAAAAACTATTAGGTATTTCAAATTATAAAAAAAACAAATAAAATAATAAGAATTGAACAGGGATAATTTTGACATTAATTTTAATCCATTTCGGTAAAATCAATTTTTAACCCAAATAATTTTGGGGGAGGAGAGGGATCAATAATCCCCCGCCTATTTATTAATTAATTCAGTATCCGTTCAAATTTAGATTCAATTATTTGTTTACTTGACACCTCTAGCTACGACAATATCTTCTCTCACATTAATTAAATTAAATTTAGCTATCTAGTCATGTGATACTTGCTTCTCTTTTTATGTCACCTCTAAGCACGAGCCTCTTCAATTCTTTGTAGGTGTAGAAAGCAAACATATTTTGCTATCTGTGTTTTGCTAAAATGACCTTTAAAAACATTAAATACTTTTTTTTAGAAAAAAAAAAATTGTACTAAAAAGAACATTTGCGATTTAAGAAATCTGAGAAAATATGTGTTCGTTTCAGTCACAAACTGTAGTTAAGCCTGGCTGCCTCCGCGATAAGTATTTTATTTGGTAATTTTTTGCCCATACAATACACACCTTCTCTAGTTTTCTTTTTGTAAAAACAAAAAAAAAACAGAAAAAACCTTAGAGGTCAATTGGCTGTTAGTTGGAAAAGAGTTATATTTAATATTTATGTATTAAAAACTTAAATAATTTTATGTATTGTTTGGTTGGAAAAATATTTTTCACACAGAATCTAATTATAAGTTATTCAATATTTTAATTGATTTTTTTGGCCGTTCACATAAAATACAGCATTGCTAATACTAATGTTTGATAGTATATGTTTTTCTATGTATACCAAAAAAGCATTATTTGATTTATATATTATTTTATGTAAGATAAAAAAATTAAATAATTCATATATAAATAGCTAAATTCTTGGTAACTTAATAAATAGTGCATAATTAATCTATGCATATAACTCTAATTAGCAATCCAATGATCCTTTTAATATATTGAAAAATAATTTAAAATATCTCCTATTTTCATCTATTTGCAATAAGGGTGTTTTTGTCCGAACAATCATATATACACTACATGAGAAAACATGTGTTCTCGTGATCAAAGGAAAAAGTAAAAACGGATTTAGTCGGTTTCAATGCGTTCTTTAATTACCCCAAAACAAGAAAAGTAATAACGGAAATCTTTGGGATGTCATTTCATTTTCCTTGTGATAAAAAAAAAAAACGTAAAAACGAAATCTCTAAGATGAGTGCCATATCAACTTGGTCAATTAGATTTTTGAAAATTCTTTTGGAATTTGAATATAAATTTTAGTTAAATTTCACAATCAGTATAAGGACATCTTTACATTATCAAATTATATATTGCTCTCTTAAAATATAAAACTTATAATCTTAAAAGTGAAATAAACTATCTACTTTAACACTTAAACATAACATGATTATAATAAAACAATAATGAATATAACTTAAAACTCTTTTGAATAGAGTAAGATTAGGATCCCATGCAAGACAAAAGCTAATTTTCAAATTACATGTCTAGCAAAATTCAGTTTTCATTCATTCAAATTTTATATTTACACTAAAACAATGACAATATATTTACAATCTAATAAAAAATTACAGGCAGCAAGCAAGTTGCAGTGAGAGTCATCATCTTTGGATCCAAAAATATCCGGTCACTTCGTCCTATTATGGGCCGTACTTTTGGGCCTTTTCTTTACTTGTCTTGATATCACGTAAGGACAACAGAGATATCAATGAAAACGACAATGGAGCCCAATAAAGGTGGGTCTTTGCTTTGAAATTGGGGATCTAAAAAATGTAGCTATTCTATTTTATTTTCCACCTAGTGTACCATATCTATATTATAGTCCGATTAAATTTAAATTTATCTTGAAAAGGTCTTAAGTTTAAGAAATTTTGTATCCAAAAAACTTAAATTTGAGATCTTTCAATTATGAATAAAAGAATACTTACGGCTCGATAAAAATTCTTTTATCGGTGAATGCAGGTTACTCTTTTAACCCCAAAAGAGAAACAAAAGGATACAAATGTCAGATGAGATGAGGTTAGGTAGAGGGTTGTCATTTCACTATCCTATCATACAGTTTGTTGGAGTCCAGCTGTAATTACCTGTTACGACACTCTATCGTGCATATACGGCCCACTGCTTACACACCTACTCATTTACTCTAGTTTTTTTACGGATTGTCGCTTAAATGGATTCATCTTTAATTTTGCCTAAATTTATTTGTTTATTTGTTTAACGAAGATTGTGTTCTAATTTTCTCATGTTTGATTAGGTTAAATATTTTGAAAAATATTTTTCAAATCAATTTATTTTCCTCAAATTTAAGGAAAATGACTTCTCTTTAAAATTTAAGGAAAACATTTTCCAAAACTCTCTTCTAATTTCAAATTACAATTTTTTTTATCCAACCCCTACCTCCCCCCCCACCCCCTTCAAAAAAAAAAAATTAAATTTGTTTTTAAAAAATATTTCCTACTTTAAATTTTTATTTTTTCACCTCTACCCTTGAACCCCCCGCCCGCCTGCCAGCCCCCTACCCCCAAAAAAAATTTAAGTTTTTTTTTAAAAAATATTTTCAACTTCAAAATTTTATTTTTTCACTTCGATCCTTGACCCCCCACCTCCCCGAAAAAAAATTGAGTTTATTTTTAAAAAATATTTTCAACTTCAAAATTTTATTTTTTCACTTCGATCCTTGACCCCCCACCTCCCCGAAAAAAAATTGAGTTTATTTTTAAAAAATATTTTCAACTTCAAAATTTTATTTTTTCACTTCGATCCTTGACCCCCCACCTCCCCGAAAAAAAATTGAGTTTATTTTTAAAAAATATTTTCAATTTCAAAATTATTTTCTACTCTAGTAGAAATAAAAGATATTTTTCAAAATATTTTTCATTCATAAATCAAAGACTAAAAAAAATTTCGGAAAATAATTTCTATTCGCCAACCAAACATGAGAAAATAAGTCAAAAATCTACTTGTTTTCTAGGAAAATATTTTCCTTTCGTACCAAATACACCCGAAGATTTGCGGATTAAAATATGTTTGTATATATATATGTTTTAGAATCTGGAATTATGCTTCCTTTCTCTTTTTTTTCCAGGTTTATGTCCATTTTTTTGAGAGAAACAAAATTGAGTCTGTGCTTTACTTTTTGTTTTAGAAATACATTATAATATACAACAAAATTTGTTATCCTTTCTATGAAACTTGGAGAATGTAATGAACCGAACATATAAACTTATGTCGTGAATAAATTATTTATTATTATGATATTATGGACATATTTTGTTATGCTTTCAATGACGTGACTTATGAAATATTATGAAATGAAAATATACTTATATATTCTGAAAGTTGTTTGTTTTTTCAATGTCAAAAGGTATTCTTGGGAATTTTTATTGTTTTACTTAAAGTGTTGCGAGCAAAAATTAAAAACCACAAATTTATTTAAAGAATAAATTATAGAGCTTCCCTTAATAGGGACATAATGTGCGAATAACCCCCTTAGGGTTGGCAGATGATCTGCAGATATAGGATCATTAAATTATGACGGATGCATCATGATTTTAATTTTTTTTTTTAAATCTTTATTTAGCTCTCTTTTTAATTTGTTCGTAAATCTTGCTGGATTTTCATAAAAAATAATTAATGTTCAACATCTTCATTTAGCTCTCTTTTTAAATTGTTAGTAGATCTAGCTGAATTGACATAAATAATTTTAATGTTCAATTGTTCACAAATTATAATATGCACGTCGTAATTTTTACATTCGCAATTGTGCAAATCCACAAATTATTAAAATTATTCAATAAATACACCTTTTTCAAAAAACACATTGTAAATTTTTATTTCTAGGTAGGAGATTACATGTACTTTCATATTGTAGTTGAAAATATTTCAGGATTTGAATAAAGATATTTCATTATCCATTTGATCATTTAACGTAGTTGCCACCAGTTTCTTCAATCGAATTGAATATAGAAACATGAGTTTAATTAGTCCTTACGTTGATATATAACTAATGGAATGCTTAGAATATCTCCATTAGCTGCTAAAAAGAACCTTGTCAGTATTGGTATAAACATGAATGCGTTTGTATCTATTTTTCTAACAAAGTATTGCTAATAGAACAAATGCTAAAGGAGATGAGAAAGAAATCACCAGCAAAGTGCTTGATTAATTTCACTATGGTATGCTCGAAATGCTTTTAAGCATATGAACAAAATTCATGTGACAAAAGCTTTTCATGTGTATTTTACATTTCCATCTTGATCTATATTTCATGAGAATGCTCTTAAAATACCTTTTTTTTAACTCTAAGATATAGTATACAAAAATGTACCATTTACCTAAAATCTGTATATCTGATCTGTTGCAAAAAGAATTTGAGGATATACATCTTTCTATATCAACGACCAGAGGCCACAATATCCCGCCAGACTGCATGATCTCCGTCTACAGGTGTTGGCATCAACACCACAATCATCATCACTGAAACATCTATGATCAGCACCAGTATCAGGGATGTGGCAAGCACTTTCAAGTCGCCTTGCATTCGGTTCATGGTGAATCATTGAAGCTGGACAAATTTGAAGTGACATGGCACTGCTTCGTTTTCTCTGCTTACCAGTCTGCGCAAATTGAATAATTTGTCACCCCTTGAACTCATATCTAAGATGATACAGCC